CACTGTTTCCAGAACGTAAATAGTACCCAGAGAATATGTCTTGAGTGCATTCAGGTAGCGAGGAAGTTCTTGGTATGACTCCTCCCAGTTTCCGTACACCTTTTGAATCGCCTTAGTCTTTGCTAACCACTCCTTACGGTAAGACGGAGTGTAGTTAAAAACTGTGATGATGTGGGAGATGATTGTTTTCACCTTCAAAGATGGGGCGTTGCTGACCAGGGGTAGGATTTCTTGACAGATGATATCGTAGTTAAGTTTTCGGTGGTCCTGTGATTGGGTAGAACTTACACAAGTGTGGGTAGTCATGGAACCTATGACCCAACAGTCACCTTTTAATCTGTATGATGCAGTCAGCTTGAACATACAATCAGGATGGACACACTTGATCTTGTACCTTTCCGGGTTGACACGGTCCACCTTAAAATCAACCGAGTTGAGCATGTGGAATTTTTTTATGGCTCTGATGCATTCCTCTCTGTTACGAAACTTGTCCTTCTCTTTTAAATTTTCATCCGACTGCATATACGGATTGAAAAATAAGTCAGTAGAAGGTTCATCTCCGCCCATGTTGAAGTTTGTCATGTGCGGAGGTGGTGTGTAGATTTCGTTTGCAGGAATACTAGGTATGCCATCATCGTCGGAATCATCATTCACCATTTCATCAAACTCTAACTCATCATCTTCTTCTTCTTCATCAACTGCATCTACCTCAGCTTGTTCATTCTCCAAAGGATCAACCACTTGTGTCACCTGAGGCTCTCGCAGCATAATGTAAAACTCAATAGAGTCGTACCCAGAATACACATGGCTGGAAAACATATTCTGGAGATCCTCGTCATCTTGAACTTCAACCTTATAAAAAATTACTTGGTTGTTTCCAAAAAAAACTGGATTTTGATAAAATATCTGGGTCGCCGGGCCTCGTCCAAGTTTGGCCTCCAATCGTTTTATGAAGTACGAGAAATTGGCTTTTCCGTTTAAGAGAAATCGAATGTTGTCTGTGTCTCTAAACAAAAACCCAGCGGTGGGAAAAATTAATGTCTCACCGTTGAAATGTGCTTTGACGACAAATATTGGTGCAGGGGCCATTGCGTAGGATTGTTTGAAGGTTTGAAGGTTGGAATGTTTGAATTTCATGAGTTATTCGAAGGTTGGAATGTTTGAAGTTTATTGATTGTATGAAGGTTTAAATGTTGTAAGGTTTGAAGTTTGGAATGTTTGAACTTTATGAGTTATTCGAAGGTTTGTATGTTTGATTGTTTGAAGGTTTGAAGGTTTGATTGTAAGAACGGTTGAAGGTTGGAAGATTTGACAGATTAAGTGAATCAATGTTATGATAAACGTAAGACTAAAAATTTCAATTAAGTAAGGATGTAACCCCCAAGGCTGCCAATAGTGTTACATGTATGGCATCCCAAAGGTTGTCACGTAGCCTGAGCCTAGCCTACAACCAAGGACACCTCTTATTCTCCAATTGGGATGGCGACACCTTTCATTTTTGTACTCTTTCTCCAAGTCCAATGGCGCCTCCCTTACTGTCCAATCGTGATACATGCATGCAGATATGTAACCCCCTAGGCTGCCACCTACTCTGCACCTACTCTGCACCTATATTGTATCTTGTAAGTCTCCTCCCATCACCTCCAATAGGGTTACATGCATTCAGGCATGGCATCCCAAAGGCTGTCACGTAGCCTGAGCCTAGCCTGCAACCAAGGACACCTCTTATTCGCCAATTGGGATGGAGACACCTTTCATTTTTGTACTCTTTCGCCAAGTCCAATGGCGCCTCCCTTACTGTCCAATCGTAATACATCCTAAGGCTGCCACCTAGCCTGCAAGAGTGACACCTTTAATTTTTGTACATGCATGCAGATATGTAACCCCCTAGGCTGCCACCTTGCCTGCAAGAGTGACACTTCACATGCATGCAAGCACCAGCAACCACTCTATAAATTTTTTTTGCCTATAAATACATACCATATCATACATCTCTCACACCCACACAAGTCTCACTCTATGCTACGAAATCTTTCATAATCTCTTACACTTTCTAAGTCTTTCATACTCTCTTACACTTTCTAATTCTTTCATAATCTCAAACATTTTAAACAATGGCTCTTCTAACAATGGGCGATTCTCACAGAGGCACAAGGGAAAACATTGCCGCATTTGTAAGTTTCTATTTTGGTTATACATTTTTCATACTTCAGATAATGCTTTGTTCATCTTACTTAATCTTACACCTTTTACATTATGAACTCAGGACACCAAAAGATTTAGAATCCGTTCTCACAACTACCTGGCTCCCGACCCATTTATCATACCATATCTGGAATACGCAGGTTTTGGACATGTCATAAAGATCTCCAACTGCACAATTGATTCGAAGTTCATTCTTGCAATGTTGGAAAGGTGGAGACCAGAGACCCATATATTTCACCTACCAATAGGTGAATGTACCATCACGCTAGAGGATGTGTATATGCTACTAGGTCTCCTTGTCAACGGTAAGACCGTGAACGGGTCGGTTCAACAACCCAACTCTCAGTGTGAAGAACTGTTGGGCAGGGATATGGTTGAAGGTGGTGGTGCGAGAGGTCAGGGAATACTACTCACTGAGCTTAAAAGTCATTATGTAAGTTTGGAATTAAACGAAAATTCCTCCGAGCAAGATAGGGTAGTACAAGCCAGAACTTATCTTATGATACTATTTGGTACCTTTTTATTTCCCGAAAGTACAGGAAATAGTGTAAATTTTATGTATTTACATTTACTAAGAGATTTTGAAAAAACAAAAAAATATAGTTGGGGTTCTGAAGTTTTAGCCCACCTATACAGTTCCTTGTGCAAAAATGCAATCAAGGAAAAATGTACGTTTTATGGGTGCGCTTTTTTACTACAAGTCTGGGGTTGGTGGAGGATGGAGTCCTTAAACCCCGTCAACAACAACACTTTCATTTTCCCGTACGCAACAAAGTAAGTCATCAAGTTATATCATTTATTACTATTCATCTCTTCACCAAATATATGCTAAGAATAAAATGTTTTTCATTTCCTTTAGGTATTGCGTGAGGGGTATGGATTACGCCAAGAATCCATGATTCAATGTCGCGCTATACGGCAATCTGTTGGATCACTTAGGCCCGAATGATGTACATCGTAGCTTTAAACTTTTCTTCATTTAAATTATTTATACATTACGTTTTCGTTAACCTGATTTAAATTTTATCGCAGTTCGTCTGGAGACCATATTTGGGTTTGGGCCATGATCCAAACCCGGAGGATGCAGCAATTTGGACCGCGAAGACTGCAATCATTCGGTTCAATGTTGTGGAGATGCACCACAGCGACCGTGTGAAGATGCAGTTCGGAATGCATCAAGAGATACCAAGTGATCCAACTTGTTTGTCCCCATGGCATCTTAAAAGGGTCGACGCCCAGTGGGGTCTTAGCAACTGGAAAGACTTTGCTCCGGAATGGTGTAAGATGTGGCAGAGGCGTCACCGTTATGTCTTGCAATTCCTGGTTTTCTTTAATCATGGTAATATGCGACACACAGATCAATATTTATCTTGGTACAGGTCGGTTAGTAACCCTGAAATGCACGTGTCTCGTCCAAGGTACTTGGTTGACCCACGCACACAATGGGCACAACCCTCGTTTCCCCAACAACAAACCCAAAACCCATCAACCTCCCACCAACCCCCAAGAAGAAACAGAACCACAAACACCCAACCACAGTCCCCACCACAACACAATTACACTCAAATACCCCACAACCAACCACAATCACCACCTCACTACCAATACCCCGATATGCCTCACACCCAACCACAATACCAATCACAATACCAACACACCCGCATACCCCACACACAATTTCAGTCTTCCGTATATCCCAATATGGGCCCCTCAACATCCAGCCTTAGCCCTGATATGGGAATGTCGGAAGATTACGAACAAACCGACCCAGCCTACCATCAACCACAATATCACCAAACCACCCAATATCCTCAATACCAAACACCCCAAGATCCATTTCCTTTCTACCCACCGTACTCAGACGATCAATGCTACAGACCCACCATGGAACCCCACCCACCGCCAACACGACCAAACTTTGAGGGTATGGGTAACCGACTGTACCAAAGCGGATCTTCTAGATATGGAGATCTGACTGATTTTATGGATCCAGACCGCATTGACTTCGCTGTGCCATCGACCCTGCCGCAGCAGGAAACGCGACGACACCCAGCACGGGAAAGGCGAGGACGGGGATGCGGAACTGGGGGTCATTACCGGGTTCCGGGGGATCACTGATTTATCTATTTTTTTTTCCTGTTTTTTTTATCTGTTTTTTTTATCTGTTTTTTTATCTGTTTTTTAAATGTAATACAGTTGGATGTAATTATTTTTTTTTAATAAAAAATCCATTTTGTTGATCCTGTATCCAACACGCAACGCACCGGACAAAAAAAAATCACATTTTACCCTAAAAATACACATTGTCTTACATTCTCATCACAGAAAAGGTTTCATCATCGTTGCTATTTACATAATTCTTTAGCATGCATCATATTATGAAAGCCTTCAAGTTGTGAAAGCCTAAGGAGATTTACTTTAAAGAAAAATTATTGATATTCCTTTGCTATATTTTTTAATTAAGTTATTCACTTGATCAGTTAAAACTTTAAGATGATAGTTGAATGAGTTCTCCCATTTATAAATATTTAAATCATCACCTTCTTATTTAATTTGGGACTATTTTCCCACATTACTCACACTTGTATTATTCTCGATATTAATATATTTAGAATCTCATTAATTACTAGAACACCATCTAACATTTATATAAACTAAAAAGCAAAATATTTATTAGTTATTCGCATCACTATGCATATGCAACAATATGCTATTATTACAAACATCACACTAATTTATAATAAAGATGAAGATTTAAGCAAACCACGTGCATTGACATCCTTCTTTCTTATGACTTATAGAGCTACCTTTTCCTTGCCAAGTTTAGCATCAGCATCTCGAGTGTTTTGGCATAAGAAGTCCATCTGAGCAATTGGTGGATTAATATCCTCGTTGATTTTCTCATATTCAATAGTCCATTTAACAACAGCAGTACCATCAGCCTTATCACTTACTTCAAGGATCAGCTTAAAATCCTTATAGTGCTTATCAATATCTCCTTCAAAGATCTTCCATATTATTTTATTTTTTTCTTCATCAACTTCTTCAATACTCTCATGACATGTGTGTACCTCACCATCTGTTGTTATGTCATCGATAATTTATTCCAAGAAAAATAACAAAGTTGAATATAAGAATTGTACAAAAATATATAGACTGTATAATTACCTATGACATATGTCCAGTGTTTGACCGTATCAGTATCATGCCAGTCTTCACCTTCATGCAGTTTGGCATGATGAATTCTTTCACAATGATTTTGCAATTCGTGAGATTCTTTTGCATATAGTTTGAAGAACTTGTCAGCAGGAGTTTTGATACCAAGTTCAGCAGTAAGTTTGCCAGCTAAAACCATTTTTGGAAAGAAAAACAAAAGATGAAAGAACCAAGGGTTAATATGATGAAAGTTTATGCAAACCTCATGACTTAAATAGAAATTGGATCACATTATCCGGCATCAACTTTCAATTGCATTATTGTTTTGGTCCCACAATGTGTGGTACTGTCAAGACATAGGCATGTTGAATAGCATTTGAGATCCAAAATCTTATGTGCCTTTAACGTACGGTCACACATTTTCTTCAAAACTTTTCTATGTTAACTTACACGCAAAGACATAACTTGCGGTTATAGATCCTTGAGGCTAAGAACAATAATTCATTTAGATTATTCTAGAGTAAATGTTTTAGGAATCAAATGAGGCTCACATACTTGATGATTCTGTTTTTGATTTCGTGTCTCCCAATGATAGTATCCAAAATAATTTTTATCCACTACAAGAAAAAGAAATGTTTTGTGGCACATAAGTTGCTAATGGTTCTATAAAAATTATCCTCCCTGTGCATTGGAAAGATCTCACAACAAACATTACAATGTGTTAAGAAGGGTAGCATTTAGAGATCTGTGCAAAAAAAGTTACATCATTTTGAAATTGAGAAATACACACGGATTCTTGATACTTAGAAAAATTCTAAGTATGAAACCTCAAAATGACCTATGAGGTCTTACAAACTTATAAGCTCTTCCATTCAAAATTTGATCTTCATCCTTGAAGATGAAATGAAGTAGACTCTTCAAATTGAATTGTGGAATTGAGATCACTCAAAAATCATAAAAATTGAAAGAGTTGTGGTCTTTGGAATATGATGAACAAATTTGAGGAAATTCACAAAAGACCTATAATCTTTTCAATTATTAAACAACTTAACAAGCATTTTTAAGCATAGCACTTTAAAACAAAGTTGTAGTAGACATCCCAAAGATTATTTTAAAAAAAGAATAAGTTCAACGAGATAAAATATGATCAAGTTATGATCATTTGAAGTCAAACCCTAAGATTCAAAGGCTTTTTAAAGGGACTTGTAATCTTCTTCAAACATAAATGGTCCTCCATGCCAAATTTGCATTTGATCCTTGAAGAGAAGATATTAAGGAATCTTTGAAGAGAATCATGGCTTTTGAATCACTTAAATATCACAAAAATTGAGCAAGATTTGGCCTTTAGAAGTCAACCTTTCCTTGTTTAGAAGGCACAAAATGACTTGGCTTCCCTTTCAACTTTTGATAATTTTCCTTGTATAGTTGGATCTTTTCATGTGAAGAGAAGTTGTTGTAGATGATGATAAGAACCTATAGAAAAAAGAAACAACTAAAAATATTAAAAATTGAGAGAGTTATACACTTGTGATCACTAAATCAAATACTTGCTCAATTAGGTCAAACTTAATGAATCAACCTTGAATCTTTTGAACTTTCTTGGCAAAATAAAGCATGATGGATCACATTAGATCTTGAAATGAAGTTTTCTTGAAGCACACTCAATGGTGGAGCTTAAGTCTCAATGAAACTTGTTGAAGAAGGCATGGAAATAAACACATGAACATATGAATCTTCTTGATGAATGTCATTCTCTTTGATGTAAGCTTGACCTTAAATGAAATTGAGAGATTTTTTTAAACCAAAGAATTATGATGTCATCAACATAGCCTTGAAGCTTAATCTCTTGCAATCCATTGAAGAACCATTTGACTGAGGACTACCCCTTAAAACCCTAGGTTAAATGGTGAGATGGACGTAATTGTGTCATCACCTACAATACAGACATCCAAAGAAACATATATACATATATTGATGTTAGTTAAGAGTTAATCAACATAAGATGCATATGTACAAGATAAATAATTTAAGGTTCTTGGTGATCCCTCAAGAGCAAACTTAAAGATAGGTTGAAGTAGAAGGAAGAACCAACCCTAAGGTGTGATCTTGATGTATTGATAATATAAGATAAAGAGAGATATTAGGGGAAAAACTTTGGGTATAACAGTTGCCTTTATTTGAGTTTCTTCTATCCGGAGATACGAAGGTTAAAATCTTTCTCTCGACGAGATTGAAGATACTTAAATACAAAACAAACCCTGTTTTTGGCCATAAAATGCCATGCAATGCTTATGATTATGAAATACAAATGTCCAACTCCATAAGTGACACAAAATACCACTGGGTAGGCAAAAAATAAAACAAGGAACCTAATGAAGAGAGTTTAATCAGGCAAATAAATTACTGGGGAACAAAACGATTATGTGGATGACTATAAATAGGAAAAACCAAAAACCACGATTATGTGCCTTTAACGCACGACCACACATTTTCTTCAAAACTTTTCTATGTTAACTTACACGCAAAGACATAACTTGCGGTTATAGATCCTTGAGGCTAAGAACAATAATTCATTTAGATTATTCTAGAGTAAATGTTTTAGGAATCAAATGAGGCTCACATACTTGATGATTCTGTTTTGGATTTCGTGTCTCCCAATGATAGTATCCAAAATAGTTTTTATCCACTACAAGAAAAAGAAATTTTTTGTGGCATATAAGTTGCTAATAGTTCTATAAAAATTACCCTCCCTGTGTATTGGAAAGATCTCACAACAAATTTTACAATGTTCCAAGAAGGGTAGTATTTGGGGATCTGAGCAAAAAAAGTTACATCATTTTAAAATCGAGAAATACACACGGATTCTTGATACTTAGAAAAATTCTATGTATGGAACCTCAAAATGATCTATAATGTCTTGCAAACTTACAAGCCCTTCCACTCAAAATTTGATCTTGATCCTTGAAGATGAAATGAAGCAGACTCTTCAAATAGAATTATGGAATTGAGATCACTCAAAAATCATAAAAATTGAAAGAGATTTGGTCTTTGGAATATGATGAACAAATTTGGGGAAATTCAAAAAAGACCTATAATCTTTTCAATTATTAAACAACTTTTCAAGCATTTTCAAGCCTAGCACCTTGAACCAAAGTTGTAGTAGACATCTCAAAGATTATTCTAGAAAAAGAATGAGCTCAAAGAGATAAAAGATGATCAAGTTATGATCATTTGAAGTCAAACCCTATGATTCAAAGGCTTTTCAAAGGGACTTGTAACCTTTTTCAAACTAAAATGGTCCTCCGTGCCAAATTAGCATTTGATCCTTGAAGAGAAGATATTAAGGAATCTTTGAAGAGAACCGTGGATTTGGAATCACTTAAGTATCACAAAAATTGAGCAAGATATGACCTTTAGAAGTTAACCCTTCCTTGTTTAGAAGTCACAAATTGACTTGGCATCCCTTTTAACTTTTGATAATTTTTCTTGCACAATTGGATCTTTTCATGTGAAGAGAAGTTGTTATAGATGATGATAAGAACCTATAGCAAAAAGAACTAACTAAAAATATTGAAAATTGAGAGAGTTATGCACTTGTGATCACTAAATCAAATACTTGCTCAATTAGGTCAAACTTGTTGAATCAACCTTGAATCTTTTAAACTTTCTTGGCAAAATAAAGCATGATGGATCACATTAGACCTTAAAATGAGGTTTTATTGAAGCATACTCAAAGGTGGAGCTTAAGTCTCAATGAAACTTGTTGAAGAAGGCATGGAAATCAAAAAATGAACATATGAATCTTCTGGATGAATGCCATTCTCTTTGAAGTAAGCTTGACCTTAAATGAAGTTGGAAGATTTTTTTAAACCAAAGAATTGTGATGTCATCAACATAGCCTTGAAGCTTAAACTCTTGCAATCCATTGAAGAACCATTTGACTGAAGACTACCCCTCAAAACCCTGGGTTAGATGGTGAGATGGATGTCATTGTGTCATCACCTACAATACTAACATCCAAACAAACATATATACATATTTTGATTTTAGTTAAGAGTTAATCAACATAAGATGCACATGTACAAGATACACAACTTAAGGTGCTTGATGGTCCCTCAAGATCAAACTTAAAGATAAGATGAAGTAGAAGGAAGAGCCAATCATAATGTGTGATCTTGATGTATTGATAATATGAGATAAAGAGAGATCTTAGGGGAAATTTTTTGGGTATAACAGATGCCCTTATTTAAGTGTCTTCTATCCAGAGATATGAAGGTTAAAATCTTCGTCTTCACGCGATTAAAGATACTTAAATACAAAACCAACTCTTTTTTTGGCCCTAAGATGCCATACAATGCTTAAGATTATGAAATGCAAATGTACAACTCCATAAGTGACACAGAATACCATTGGGGAGGCATAAAATAAAACAGGAAACCTAACGAAGAGAGTTCAATCAGGAAAATAGACTACTGGGGAATGACATGATTATGGGGATGACTATAAATAGGAAAAACCAAAAATCACGATTAAAGAATCTAAATTCCGTTAAAAAGAAAAAGAAACTTTGCTGGGAAAAAAACTCTGATGGGGAAAGGAAGACTCAACTCTACTGAGGCAAATCCCAGAGAGGAGACAAAGTATCATCAACTCAATAAATTAGAAAAAAGCAATGGATAACAATAAGTGATAAATAACTGTGAACTACCCACTCGCAGAGGAGGTAGTAAAGATAGAGTAACACTGACTCATAAGGGATCAGAAACTACCAACCCGAAGGATGCGAATAAAAATAGTAAGATAATATCGGCTCAAAGATGATGCTAAACATTAGTACTTAGGTAGGTAACGATTGATTGAAATTTGTACTTATGATTGGAAACAAATGATTGACATCAGTGCTTCTGACTAGGAAAAAATGATTGATATCAGTACTTATGACTGGTAACAGAGGATTGATGTCAGTACTTATAATTGATATAAGTACTTAGGACTGGTAAAAGAGGATTGACATCAGTACTTATGACTGGAAACAAATGGTTGACATCAGTACTTATGACTGAGAACAAAAGTTTGACATCAGTACTTATGATTGGGAACAAAGGGTTGACATCAGCGGTTATGTCTGGAAGAAAAGGGTTGACGTTAGTACTTATGGATGGAAAAACTCAACTCTATTGGGATGAGGTCAAATGAGGA